GATGGCTGTGAACACAGGTACTAGGATGTGCCCGACCCCGCTCAATGGTTGAAGAAGCCTCACACAATTACATCCTAATTCTAAAGTTCTACAATTACACAAATGAACATACATGTTATATAAATACACTGGGATCAGTTTAATCATGAAATTAGCTTGGTGATAAGATAACAATGCACTTTTCTGAACAGTCCCAGCAAAGCATTTGTTTTTCTGAGATGAAGAATCGATCTTAAGTAAAATTGGTTCTTTGAACAACCCTGACATGGTTAAGCTTTTTTATTTATACGATATATATACCATGCAAATCAACAGATAAAATAAACATTCTATTATTTTTTACTTCTGAACATTCTATTTCAGCCAATAATCATGAGACAAACCCAGTTAACATTACCTAAATGGAAGATTTATTTTTAATACTGAAAAAAAAAAACCAAAAACCATATATAGATTTTTTTTTTCTTTTTAGAAGACCCTTGAGCAAGTGGAAGAATAGTAATTCCAAACAGGCTAGGTTTCTCGTGCTATGAAATGTGTATTTACATGTATACTATATTTTTTTATGTTATATGGCAAAGCTTACATCTCAAACATAGATAATAGAATTTGTGTAAATGGAAAAGACAAATCTGTTAAGGTTGTGATAAGCAAACCCAAAACCTTTACAGGTATCTTGGTTGACAGGCTTTAAAACTCCATGCTTTTAACGTTGTCTGTGAGGAACTCAAAACTTGCAGGTTAGACTACATCTAAATTCACACGAGACAGGAGAAGGTTAACTTGAGGAAGAATTTCATCCTTTAATATTTCTATTTTTAAAAATCCACTGTTAACTGCTCAGGATCCACAGTACAAAGAAATAAAGAACTGGGCTCTTATTTTTTCCCTTTACTTAGTGGTCTAACTATCCCATCAATCATACTGATCCTAAATTGAAAAACCAAACAAACACACAAATATGGAGTCGCCCTCTATCCTGCTCTACTGAAAATAAGTGGCACAAATCTGGCAAAAAAAACTTTCGGGCTCTATGTGGAAGGAATCCTAGAGTATAATTTGGAGAAAGAAATGTTTTTGTAAGCCCATCTGTATTCATCCATGTCATTACTCAAAGATTAGCTTACTGAGTCAAGGGTAGGAAAATAAAGAGTTTTGTGAAGCAAATCGAGAATGGATGGTAATCCTAACTAACTAGATACGGAATAACATTCTGCACACTTAATATATTCAGTTCAAGCGTTTATGAAGAAGTTTACACACAGAAAATGGAAGGGTTTTTTTTATATATAGATTCAGAAAAACTGGGTTCCCAATTCAGACTACCCTGTGTGACTTTTGTCATTATCATCTTTTCTGATTCTTACAAAGTAAACCTAATTAAGAACCTCCCTCATTAGTCTTCCAGAAAAATTAGCACAGCTTATGCTAATTACTCCTGCAAAATTTAATAAACTCGTTGAAATGGGAATAGTCTAATGAGGTTTTATTTATTGAACTAAGATAACTCCAAGGAAAAAGGTTAGGACACAAGGATATCCAATGTGGTAATAAAACTACAATTTATTCAATTTCTAAACATGAATTTTATTGCAAACCTTTTAAATTCAAATATGAGTTACTGTGTGAATATGTTAAATCAATCTCAACCTTAATTCAATAACTGCAAGTCATTTTTTGCTTTTTACTTTAACAATAATTACTACACATAGCCCTTTACCTCAACAATAATAAAATTTGCTGTTATTAGTTCCTGGTCATCAGCTATTAAACATAATACATTTGACATTTCCCATGTCTACACAGCCCAAATATCTGGATCATTGGGCACAGCCTGGGTTTTACAATTCTTAATCAAGCCATTTGGCATCAGACAGAAATACAACCTGGCAGTCAACTCCAGATGCACATTTCCTACATTTGCAGGAATTTTCCAACAAACTTTTTGGGCGTGACTCGACAAATTGTCACAATTGTAAAAAGTAGTCATTTTCCTCACCTTTTGCATGCTATTATAAAAGAATAATGTAAAAATCTATTTTCTAAATCACAGTATACTACCACTGATTTTGTTAATTCCACTTTTTGGATAGACTACGCCAAACTGATATCCCCAAATCACTGGTGGCAAATAATACAGCCAAAATTCGACACAGAAATAGCTTACCCTGCACCAGTGCCGTATGACCAGAGAGCCTCTTCTATCTACCCTATAAATAGTTTTCCTGAATAACCACTGCTAAAAGTCTAGGTTTTTTTTAAGCAGTGTTCTTCCAAAATCTGAAGGACAAGCAAAGGGAGCTGAAAATTATTGGTGCCCAAAAGGCAAGTGCATGTTAAAATTATGCTAAATCCTAACACAATGATTCCCTATACCCTCAGCTCTATAATTACATACTGTATGCATCTTGTAGAAACAGTTACTACTGCTACTGAATGATGCAGGCCCCATAACCTATTTTTACAAAACATGCAGGGATTCACATTATAAATCTGAAAACAAATCAAACCCTAAGCATGTAACACAGATATTATGCAATCAGTAATATAGAATCAAATTGGAAACTATGAAATTCAAACACGGTTGCCTTCGTTGTTTTTTCTCCCTTCGCAGCAATTTTATGGAATTGAAAAATCTTTTCTATTTTTCCCTTCCTTCTGTAAATTCTTTTCTTGTTGTTATTCTCTTCTCTCGTCGTTAAAAATGGAAGTTTCACATATCAGCCTAGACAAGACTGGAGCTTTTAAAACCTTTGGCAGACTGAAGGACAAATAAATTCTGAAAACTCAGATGCAAATAAGAATAGCTAAATGGGGTTTTGCATATCAGCTGGCACCACCGCTTAAAAAGACAGTTCACGGGAGACAGTGGCAACAGCCAGCAAATAAACATATGTTGCGACTTGTGCAGACGCACTGGGTTTCAGCTGTTTTTAACATTCTCCTCTCTTAAGAGACCAACATTGGCTACACACTGCTTTCTACTTTGTCAAACCAAAAAGAAAAAAAAATGAAAAGGATAAATGTCATGAGTAATATCTCTAAAGCCACCAACAGTATAAAGTGCATACTTATTTTGCCTAAATTGTTTGAACTACCCCAGCCAAGAAAAGGTTTTAAGTACCCTACTGGGACAGATGCAAAGCGGCAACAATAGAAGCCACACTAATGCAATCCAGGTAACACAATCCTGTTTCAAAAACACGGCCGGGCTAATTACAGCGCTGCTGAGTCAAGTTTCTTATGCCATCGCAACCCACAGGAACAGGTCAAAATCAAATGTTATTCAAACCACAGTCATATCAACCTTCTATATCAGAGTCACGGCTTAAAACCAAGCGAAGAACTTAAAAGCTTAACCCATTCACAAGCAAAAAAAGTGTTTTCATTGAGGGTGGCAAGGTAAGGTTCTTGCCATCATCGAAACCAAAAGGAACTGTGTAGCAGAACAAAATGCTTATAGTTTCAAAGTTTGGGGGACTATTTGGGCTAGGCCTTTGATCAAAACACTGTCTTTTTAATGGATGAGTAAGAAAAACTTGCTTAAAATAACAAATGGTATTTTGGAGAGGTGGATTTAAATGAAACAAACAGCATCAAGGTTATGCTTCTTTTTCTAAACTATCTGAAGATTTACCTTCCATTGACGGGGAAAAAAAAATTGTGGGAATGGCAGACCCACTCAGGCAGATAAACAAGCTACTCTGATTCCATAGGCAGTACACAACCTCACTACGTATTAAACGTATTTACCGGTGTTTATTTTGAATCAAGTACATTAACACATTTATCAGGCAAAAATGTACGTTGTTAGTGAATATTAGTGAAAGATATTTAATTAAAATATCTGATTGAAATGTAAGCTTTATAAAGCTACTTGACAATCAAAATTGGGCTTAAGCCTAAAGAACGACATGAGTCAAAATCAACAATCAATGTTTTGTCATAAATTATGATGAAGCAAACAAACAGTTTTCACTTAACTAAAAAATGATAAAGCAAATCTCTACAAGGTAAAGAACTGGGAAAATAGGTAAGTGGAAGGGGTGGTGTCAAAAATCAACAGTATCAAACCCCAAAAAGGGGGCTTTTATTCAGCTGTAGATTTCTTCAATGAGGGATCAGTCAGTCTTCCTTGCAAGACTTTTTTCCAGCTAATGGGTAGTGCTAGCCTAGCTGACAACTGACAGTATCTATAAACCTTCCAGGCCATGTAACTCTCAATGAGGAATGCTATGGAAAAATGGTTTATCATACATGTTTCCATACAATGAATTTCAATAATTAAAATGTAAAATGAATATTTGGAATGCGACTTTGCATAACATGAGCACACACTGACTTGAAATTGCACCGAACAACTAAAACAGATTTATTGTTCTACAGTGATTTACTTGGTCATGTCAGATTAGTAATATGGATCTGTTTAAAAACACAATAATTAAGACAAGCAGGATAAATTAATCAACTTACAATACAGTATGAGCTACAATCAAACCCAGGAAATAACAGTAGAAAATCTTGGTTCACAGATCTCTTTAAAACTGCTTTTATGCATAAATAAAACCTTAAAATGTAGATGGATTACATCCAACAGAACTACTGTAGCTAAAAGTGATAATGATTCAAACATTTTTCAAATAAAAGTTAAATATTTATAAGCACCCAACCACATTTCATAAATCACAAACTATTATTATTTTATTTCTGAAGCTTCCTGGCACAGCATGAGGACTGAGCCATAGAAAGTCAGGAAAGAAAAAAAATATTCCTTTAGGAGCATGAATCAGACACAAAACCAGAGCAATCCAAGAAAACAGGCCTCCGAAGAACATTCCATACGGCTTTCCCAGGAATCGCAATAGCGCGGCGCAGATTAAGTCATGACCAACAGGCAAATTTCGGCCCATGCATTTCTAACCCTCACCCATGAGCGACACAGGGCAGGTGTTTCATTATAATGAGGAATAAGAATCCAGTGAAAGTAGAGTGGTCCCTACCTGTCAATTATCACTGGATCTGAGGGAGTCTCATTTCGGTTGCCACAGCTTTTCTTGTCACAACAGCGGCTATGGAGCAAAAGCAAAAGGATTTAGTACAACCATTACAATGTAAAATCATCATTTAGGCAGACAGAAGGTTCAAATTGCTGGGTTGCAAATGCTAGAATTACCACAAAGCCATACCTGGCAATCAACGGATCCCTGGGACAGAAAATTCTATTTGGGTCACCTATGGGTTAATGGCCAGGCTTAACCTCTCCCTGCACAAAGAAGGAGGGAGAAAAAGGGCCTCTCCGGGAGCCGGGACTGACAGCCCCAAGATGGGGGCTCCCCATCACTGCCCGCGGTATTGAAGAGTTCACTGTGCAATGCATTATTATTACATCTACCCAATGAGAATATTCAGGGTTGTGGGTGGCTCAAACGTTCTTCCCTCAAGATCACACTAATTGTGTGGAACGCGTCAATAATGAGGTATGAGTGATTTCTCCCCCTCCAGTCATTTTGTATTAAATGGATTCCTTTTTCTTCTCCTTTCTTTTGTATGGGAGACATTTTCTTCAACCACAGGCTTTCTAAAATGAAGCTGTGTTTGCTTTTGAACCATCTTGATGAGAATAAAAGTACAGCACAATAGTTAAGACAAACAAGACACAAGATAAAAGGAAATGGACATCAGCGTGTCCTCCGGCTTTCCTGCCCTGAGCTGGCCACCACCTAAGTTTTCTGGAAGCACCATGGACAGTTGACCGAAGGCTCGCCCAGCCCTGACAGTGGGCACTGTTTACGAGGTCAGAAAAAGCAGCCATGGGCAAGAAAAGAACCCACTATCCAAATCCCACCCCAGCTGTGACCTTAAGGCTGTCAGGTTATTGTTGGATTGTTTTTTTTTTTTTTTAACTGAGATGCTTCTAAAAAATAAAAAATTATGGTTTTGGAAAAGTACCCATAGTCAATGGAGACCTAGCCATCTGAGCCTTCTTTGCAAATAAAACATGTGCCCACTGGGCAGTCTACACCCAGAGGCACACTATAAAAGCACATATTTGATCAGTCAAGGAGCAGAGGAAGTTATCCAAGTGTTATACACTACCATGCACCACAAAGAACATGCACTTTCCTCCTCCTTTCTTACACAGGCACACGTGTGTGTGCACTGGACTTAGTGAATCATAGAGCCTAAATTTAGAGCTGCCGGAGAGAACCAAACATTGAACTTCACTTGCAGGACCCAGAAATAATACTTCTGCATAGGGAGTCTTTCACCAAAGTTGGGAAGCCTCTTTCCTGGCTGTAACTATATCCCTGAGAAGAGAATCAGCTTCCAAATTTGGTGCTAATTCTGCTTGTCTCTCATATGTTCAGAAAGCAATAGTAAGAATTGTATCTCCTTTTTCAAAACCCCAGCTAAGAGCCACTCCACAACCTATAGTCTTTGTCTTTCTCATTAAGAGGGAACTATTTCCTCTAGGCCTGAGTTCTGCTACACCAGTACTCTGGGGATAGAAAGCCCAAAGTGTCCCAACTCGTAAGAGACACAAGAAGGACCAAGAAATGAGAAGTATAGTAGTTGGGATGCACACAAAAAATAATTTAAAAACTCAACTCCATCATTCCCAAACTCTGATTCTCTACACTTCAAGAGCAGAAGAGCACAGAAGTTAAGAACACCGGCTCTGGAATCAGACAGAGCTACCTGCATCACCTTGAGCAACATACTCTCCCTCAGAGTCTGTTTCCTCATTTGTAAAATGAGCAACTGCTGCACCCACCTCTATGTGAGGGGGCGCAGAGATTCAGTGCAATAAGAGTGCAGAGCCAGGCCCCAAGACCAGGCCTACTAAGCACTCAGCATCACTGTCTCTCCCGGCTCCTGCCCCCTCCAGCCTCCTCCCCACCCCGCGCCCCCCAATACCCGCCCCATCTGAACAGGGCAGCCCTGTGCTCTGCAGAGGCAGCCAGTCTCCAAAAGTTGCCCATCGACAGAAGCCAAGGTCCCCTTCACCCAGGGAGAAAACCAGTGAATGAGATGGCCTATGTCTCCTTTCTGTTTTCCTTTTTTTTTTCCCTTTCTTTTTCAAAACAGCAGTGGGCAATGAAGACCCCAAGGGCCACACCCTCACCGAAGTCCTGCCCAGACTAAATGCCCACCAGGGACTCCTCCAACTGGCACGATGACAGTTGTGGGGTCGAATCTACAGCCCCAGCCTATCTGACTCTCCCCCTCCCCGCTGCCCCCACCCGGGTCCGAGTCACTCTCCTTTCTCCTTGGACTTCTCCAGGAGCCTCTCGCCTGGTCGCCCTGCAACAGCCTGAGTGATCTTTCCAGAACGTCAGTGGAACTGTATCACCTCACTGCCCGACCTTTTAATGCCTTCCCGCAGCACTTAGAATAAATCTATGGCGTGACATGATGCCAGGCCACCTCCCAATCTCCAGTCACTCTCCTCCAGCTTGCCAGGCAGCAGCCCCGCTGGCCAATCTCAGCCCCTCAGATGCGGCAAGCTGAGCCTGACCCCAGGCCCAGGCCAGGGCGACCCCCTGTCCGCTCTACTCCTCCTGCCGCCTCCCCAGTCCGCCAGCCCCCGGCGCCCCGCAAACCTCGGCCTCTGGGCTCTTTCCTCTGAGAGGTTGGCCCGGACACCTGCCCTTAATCCCAGTTCACTTTCTCCTGGTTTTCCCTTCGGGGCCCCTAACACAAGGCAAACTGCATTCTTATATACATATATATTCACGTATTTTTTTTCTATCGTTCTCCTTCCACACCCTTCCCTTATTAACTCATGTTCTTCATAAAGAAACTGTCCACTTGTTTACCCAAGGAGCAGCAAAGGCCTAGACTAGAACTGTTCTCTGTTCTGTTAATTAAGCTCAAATATTGGACTGATCAATTAATTTCATGAATGAATACAATGTACTGGGAGAGGAATACAATCCAAGAAAATAGGTGATAAAGACAGCCAAGCCGCCCCTGAGGGCAGGCACTGCTGATGGAAGGAAGGGTCTCCTCCCACCCCAGCCCCCCACATACACCAAACCACCTCCCACAAGCCAGTGCCACACTAGGCCAGTGATACGTCCTTTGCCTTAAGCACTGTCCCATTGCCTTAAAATAAAAAATGACTTTTAGAGAAGCCAGAGGAATTGAAAAACAGCATAAATGAGAGCCACCTCTCTGTGCTGTGCCCCCGGGGACCCAGGGGAACAGGCAAGTTTAAACAGGCAGGAGGAAGGACGGAATGGGAATAAAATGAGGGAAAGAAGGAGCTGCTGGAGGTCACTTAGCACTGATTTTAAAAACTCTAGTCACAGGATGAAAAGGAGCCCAACAGGTTCCTGTCTCTCAGGTCATGTCATTGCATCATCTAGAATTGCCAAAATGAAATTCTTGGGCTCTGCCCCATTCCTGGGGTAACGACAAAATAGTGTCTATGGTATGAGCCCATTGTAACTCTATGTGTGTGTGTATACATATATACAGTATATACAGGTACATGTATATATGGAATTCTGTGCAGCATTGAAGAATGAAGGTGAGCCCTGGCTGGTGGGGCTGAGTTGGTTGGAGCATTGTCCCTACGGCCAAAAGGTTGTGGGCTCAATTCTGGTCAGGGCACATACCCAGGCTGTAGGTGCGGATTTGATACCCCCAGTCGGAACACATACGAGAAAGCAACCGATTGATGTTTCTCTCTCCCTCCCTCCCTCTCTCCCCCCACTCATCTCTTCCCACCCCTCTCTTTCTGCTCTCTCTAAAAGCAATGGAAAAAATGTCCTCAGATGAGGATTAAAATAAAACATTTTTGTAAAAAAAAAAAAAAAAAAAGAGGTGGGTTTTTACACACCATCATGAAAAGAATTCTATATTATGAATTAAGAAAAAGAAACCAACAGAGACAAGAGGGAAGGAGGGAAGGGTGGGTGGGTGGGTGGGGGAAAAGGAAGGGAAGGGGCAAGTCAAGGAACATATAGCAAGGACTCATGGACAAACCCAAAGTGGGGAAGGACTGAGGGAGGGAGAGGGAGGAGGGGGCGGGGGAAAGTGGTGGGGGGAAAATGGAGACAAATGTACTTGGAAAAATTAATTAATTTAAATAAACAAATAAGTAAATGTGCTACAATTTTTAAAAAAAGGGAAAAAAAAGAAAACCAAGTTGCAAAACAGCATGTATGGTATGGTCCTACTTCTGGAAGAAAAATGTGAGAGGGAGGGAGAAAGAGATTTGTCCCAAGCATGTTTCACACCCTCACTTCCCTCAAGCCTCTGCACAGAGTCACTGCCTTAGAAAGGCCCTCCCCGACTACCCCGGACCTCTCTGGCCTCCGATTCTGCTTCCCTTTCTTCCCAGCACTCACGGCATTGTATTTTACATCTATTGGTTGTCTTTATTGTCTGACTTACGCTAGAATATAAACCCCATGAGGACAGGATCTGGATCTTTTTTCCACCTCTATATCCCCAGCAACTAGAACAGAACCTGGCATACTGTAGGAACTCAGAAAATATTTTTCAAATGAATGAATAGAAATTTCAAAGCCATAACCTGTAGGAGTGGAATAAGAATGGGGAAGAACGGAGAGTATATATTTTATTGAAATACAGTCTTCAGACCTTTACTTTGTACTGCATTATGACTTTCTTATTGAAAATTTTAAAATCAACTTTCTGTGGGAGGAAGGTCTTCCCTTATCCTGAGCTGACCTCTGTGCCCCGGTCGCTCCCTAGTTCTAACCCCAGCACCAGGCAGAGCAAAGGCCTGTCCTTTTTCCCATGACAGTGTTTCCTGACTACAACAGTCCTCCTTGCTGAGCGGAACTTCCCCTAGTTTCGTCTGCGAACGCAGAAGGAACCAGAATGGTGGGTACCAACCTCCACCTTACACAAGGCGGGCCTTAACCAAGAAGGAACAGCTGCGGGGGGCAGGGGGGCCAGATTCACTGATGTCTGAGGCAGGAGAGGGCTCAGAATGAAATAATACAGTACATGGGGCAACAGATGCGAAAGCATTTCGAAGGAAAAGTTACGGTGGTAATGAAGGAACTCACAGTGATAATTATGCCCTCACTACTGTGTGATTGATGGGTCTTCATCTATTCAAAAAAGTGTTTCTTAGGCTCCTACTTGTGTGTCAGGCACTGTGCCAGGCACAGACCTGGTACTAGCTCCCTAGAGCAGGTATCTGTCAGGGGCTTAGAGTCCTAACTTGCTTTGTCACAGGGCAGGACTCCCACTATTTCATGTCCCTCCTCTACCTACAACCCGAAGGAGAGCATTGTGGCCCATCACAGAAGTGGGCACCCAGCCCCTGGGGCTGAAAAGTCCATCGAGTACTCAGAACAGCAGCCCTTGCCCCAGCAGCTCGTGCATCGCCTGGACAATTCCGCACACCCAGGGAAAGGCAAACTTATGAGTCCCTTCCTTAGCAGCTTGACACAGGCGGTGTATCTCCAGGGGGCTGACACGCAGCTCCATAAATCAGAGCAAGAAACAGTTAGATGTTTCCTAGTCAGGAGACCCACACATCCTCATCTTAGGGACATGCAACTTCTTCCCATAAGCATAGGCTCTCCCAGCTGGAGGAAAACATCTTATTATTCGCTATGCTTTACAGGAAAAAGTAAAATATCTTACCTATCAAACCAAAGTGACTGGAGAATGAGAGAGAGGAATTATCTGAAGAGCCTGATTAATAGTCGTAGGGTAAGTTCATTCTTTCCCTCAGTTTACATACATTGTCAAGTTTTCCCAGTCTCTTTAAAAAAATAATGACTTGCTCCTTTTTTTTTTTTTTGAGTGAATTTCTTTGCTGTCCAACTTTCTCCACGCCAGGGTATCCATCGCTTCTTGCTGCCCCCATAAAGACTGGCTTCGCCCCCAGGGGCTTTTCGCAGCTTTTCTCAGCCTTCCATCTGGAGCTCCCTAGCACGTACAGGGGTGCTCTCCATCTTTGGAACACCCTCCTCTTATTTCTATGCCCTCTATGCTCTCATTCTCGAGCACAGCCTCCCTCCTTGCTACATGTGATCATTCCCCAAGAAATGTATCCTAAGACTCTTCTCTCTCTCCTCTCCCACCCTTGTTGATCCCGTGTAAGCCCATAGCTTCAAGCCTCACCTTTGGGAAGAGACCTCTGTAGTTGGTGAGTTTTCGCCCTGACTCTCTTCTCAGCCCCCCGCCACAGGCCCAACCCCCTAGAGACCTTTCCACAGAGAAACCCTACCTGGGCCACCAACGCATGGGCCCAGACACCTCATGCATCCTCTAAAACCCCTATCCTGTCTCAGCCTCCTGCCCATTCCTGCGGCGACTACCTGCCTGCAAGGATGTCCTGCCATCTCTGAACAGCCACCGTCCTTGGCCTCAGCTATCTCACAGTGGACCCTTTCTGCAGTGCCGTCCAGTTATCTGCCCGCAAGTCTCATCTCATCTCTCCTCTCAGCTCTCCCACTGCAGGACTCAGTCCTTCTTAGCTCAGCTCCCCACAGTGCTCTGCACATGGGAGGTGCCAGAAGAATGAATGAAAACATCCTTAAGCACCACACCTAGAATGGACAGAGTACGTAAATGATTTTGCAGACACTTCACTTCCTCTCGATGTTCTCTCATCAGCCTGTCACTCTGAACAACTATGTGCCAGCTACCTAGCTAAACACTGGGTATTACTGCTATGGCTTCTACTACTTCTGCTTCTATTAATAGTAATATTACTACTAACTCTACTGCTACTTCTACAAATAATAACAATAGACATTCAGCACTTTCTGTGTGTCAGGCACTACGATAAGCATGTGTGGGGGTTAGAGTATTTAATCTTAACAACTGCTTATGAGACAATAGGCAGTTTCCCCGCTTTCACGCATGGAACACTTGAGGTACAGAGGGAAACTGAGTAACTTCCCTGCCTGTAAGCTCTTAGTCCAGCAAGTAAGACAGGCTGTAGACCCAGAGTTTTTATGCACTTAAAATCAAATCCCTTATGGACTTCAGCTTTAAAAAAACTACATAAATAAATAAATCCTTCACGGGGCCATATTATTTTAAGACCTTAACCAACAGGTATTAGCAAAATGTAATGATACATTCCAATTTACCAAAAATGTAGGCACTCTCCCAGAATTCCACAGAAAGAGCTCTATGCCATTAAGTCACAGGAGTCTCAAAGACTGGCAACAATTATAATCCAAGTCCTTGAGTCAGCTCATGCCGTGGGGTTATCCTCAGACCAAAACAGACCAAAAAGGATTTCTTATATTTGCAACCACCTGAGACACAACTTTCTCCTTTCCTTTTCTTTCTTTCTTTCCTTTTTCTCCTTTCCCTGCAAAAAAAGCCAGAATCATCCCAAGCCCTTTCCTGTCGATGTAAATTCTGTGTCTCCTTTACTATCACTCCAACGTACCATAAATATACAGCTTTTGTGACATAAACGCAAAGTTTTATTGTGCTGTTAGCCTTGATAGAAAGCACAGCGGAAAGTTGTTTAGAAATTAAATATCTAAAACATGCTATTTTAAAATCCAGGGCCCTCACTATTTCATGTCTGCAATGAAGAAATTTCATCTTGGGGAGAGCAAGCTGTCTTTCACACCATATGGCTAATGGTGGTGCATAGCAATTAGCCAGGCTGATTAATGGTGAACAGACTCTAATTTTATGCTTATAATTGAGCCTGCATTTGCACCCCTGGTGCAAATTCAGCACATCCCAACTTCCACTTACAACAGGCAAGAAATCAAGAGAAATAGGATGATGTGGAAAGTGAGATTTTTTTTTTCCTAAAGCCCCCTAAAGAGCATCAGATTTGCAATTTAAAAGACTGTTAGCCACACAATAGATGACAGGTTGTGTAATAGGGTCATGGCGGCCTGGTAAACAAACAGTACCCCTTACACATCTATAGGCAGCCAGGAAACTCGTAATCTGTAACATTAACAGGATGACATTTTGAATATGGCTTTTCCCTTTCAGCCACGCAGTACAAACAGCATCATTTGCCTTCAGTGGCTTGAGAATTTTATTTTTTGCTATTTTTATGTTTCTGAAAAATAGAAAGAACATCAGCAGTAAAGCACAGCAACCAGCATAATAAAGTACTTTGGACCAATGAATTTTAAGAACAAGAAAAATATAAACTGCATTAATAGAGGGTAGGCTTGTGTGTGAAAGGCATAATATATCTTTAAGGATTTCAAGAACAGAATTATTTCTAGCAGAGTCCAAACATGTACAGATATGAGATGCAAATCTATAATATATAGATATTAGTTGGCCTGTTGGTTGAGATCCATCTTCCTGTCTCCTATTTTGCTAGAATCACATGTAATAGAACATTGCAAATTCATTCTAATGACATGCTAATTGTGGGAATCTAAAATAGTCTGGAAAATAGTAATACAAAGGATGTCATTTTTAATGCTTTTCAAAATATTTTTACTCTTTTAATTCTAGAAAGTGCAAATTCAGCTGTAATTGTATGATTGTATACAGCATAACACTAATTTTTGCCTCATAATTATCTTCTAAGAACTCTATGACCATATTTTGGAATTTTGCTACTGCTTTAAAGTTAAGAGAAAAGCAAACCGTTTTTGGAGTAATTAACAAGTTTTACAAATCACTGAAGCAAAAAGTTGTGAAGCTCCTGTATATTTTGGAATAATATATTAGAAGCACGGTTATTTTCAAAAGGAAATTTTTAGATGCATACGTAATTCTAGATAAAGAAGTTAATGTTTGGGATTTCAATAAGGAAACACATTAAGCCCGTTCTAATTTATTTCCACCTGTAGACTTTTAAGTCTGATTTCCCCACAGGTCCATGAGCAGCAAATAGAACCCACTCACACTGAAGTCCTAACCACATTGGTTAGGGCTTCATAGTCAGGAGCCAGGCATGCTTTGTGCCAGGGAGAGCCTGCATGGCTAACAAAGCAATTAGTGGCCTTTCTCTGAGGCACAGTGGCATCGTCATGCTTTATTCAAATACTCAGAATATATCAGGAGCAAGGCACCAGTGTTATAAAGAGTAAGAATTCTAAACTGCAAGTTCAAAGGTGCTCTTTGGTTTACTCTCCCACATGTAGAGGACTGGGTGAGACCACGGAACTGAATGTGGTCCACATGCCACATGCCTGTTTTCAAAGGTAGCTTCAGTCTGATATCAGGCAAAAATAAAGACACTCATTTGTGGATGACATGAATTTTTATACCTTTCAGGGACTCATCTTTGCTGTCCTTCCAAAAGCTCACTACCCCTGAGAAATATTAGTTACATTGTCATGGTTATATACGTGGTAACTAAGATTAAGAGATCAGTCAAGGGGGGAAATAAAGGAAAATCCACACTCAATTTAAAGAGAAAAGCTGCCCATGTATGAATGTCATATATTAAGTGGGAGAATTAAAAAGGGGAACTATACCTTAAGTCTTAGCAAACGGAGTCTTCTGCTGACATCAATAGAACTCTTACTCATTTTACTAGCAATGCGGTTGAGTGCATATATTAACACTAAAAAGGTTATATTGTATTTTATTCGACTGAAAGGAAGAAGGGGAGGGTTCTGCTTTGTGCCCATTAACAGTGTGATATCAAAATGGAAATGTATGTCTTACAGGATGAAATCTAATAAATAATTGAGAACCACTCTGATGTCTGACAATTTAATACAAAATACTCACGTCTAACGGTTCTTTTTAGATTGTCTGATAGAAGATAAATGTGTACCCCCAAAATAAATCAGAGTTCACCTAGATTTGCAATACAAATTTGTCTTCTCTTTGCTAATTAAAGGGAGAGAACAAGGTATTTCTTACCTGCACATGATCTCATGTGTGAGCAAGACTCGGCACATTTCTGGGTTCTTGTCTTGGCCTTCGTACACTATGGCCTGTAAACAAAGGCAGGATTGGAGTTAAGAATGGAATCAAGTAGCAGAGAACAAACTATCAAAATTGAGTTCTTGACCACTTCACCACTGCTGCGGGCCAATTAGCTTTCAGGAGCTTAAAGCCTCCTGTGCTGATACTTTGTTAAGGATCAACCCAATATAAGTGGAAGGGGTATGTTCCTCTCTGGCCTGTCCACCCCCTCGTATGACACACATCATTTCATTGATGTGTGACATGGGTGTTCGTCCTTTCAACTCAGAATAAAAATAAATCTCATCAATGATGAGAGGAAAACCCTGCAGGATTATCACATAGAGGTACTATTGATTTAAAATATGGAAAAGTATATGGATTTCTACGTATTTGCCACCTCATTTTACTACTTTCAACTTCAACATGTAGGATCTAGAGATGAGCAGTAGGAAACAAGTGGCGGTATGATCAGTGAGTCTGTTCACTCACTGTCTCCTCTGAGATGATTCATCAATCAGCGAAAAGCCTTCTTCCCACCAACAGGCTGGAAGCATATGCTCTCCAGGGTGTGTACACCCACCCGAACTGTAATGCTCGCCAGCATATGCGTGGGCCTAAGCATACAGTCATCTCCCTGAGCTAGGAAGAATTACATCTGACTCTCAAAATGTGGAGATCCAAACCACCTCACCAGCCAAGATGTTTCTGTCTGTTTTTAGTAATATGTGTACAAACATTTTGTTTAAGATCACTAGGAAGTTTTCCGGAGACCTCAGCGTCCTGCAAGTTCTACATGCTAATACCCGAGCCAAAGAGAAAACTCCCCGCTATTGGTAGAGCAGTACTCTGCATTGGGATACGTTTTAACTAACTTAACACTGCATAATACTAATACAACACAGCTTCAAATTGTTAATAAAATTACTTTCACACATTCACATAACCCTCAACTGCTTGGTGATAAAACTACTTAAATTAACCAGAGACTATCCTTATGTAGTGCGTACAGATGCTACAGTAACTTGTGGTTGGCTCTAATATGTTTTGTTTATGAATCTGGGATTTTTAGAACCTGTAAGTCATGGGGAAAGCTTAAGATACCGTGTGTGGAGGCCCTTCACCATGCTCTGCTGAAGACATCTAACTCCATTACAAAACAAAAACAGCAACATATTAAAATATGACAAAAAGTACCTGTATAAAAAGGAAACACTTCCCTACCATTGGCCCATCAGAATGATTTTTTATGGTTAGCCTATTATTTTAAGGTTTTACTTTGACATAATTTTAAACTTACAGAAAAGTCGCAGGAATGTAAGAAGTCCAACATACTCTTTACCCAGGCTCCTGCAATGTTTACATTTTATTAAATTTGCTTTTTACTTTTCTATTTTTTTCTGAACCATTTACTAGTAAATTACAGGCATGCCCTAAATACTTCAACATGTATTTCCTTAAAACAAGGAATTCTCTTACATAACCACAGAATGATTATCTGAATCAGAAAATTAGCGGTGATACAACGCAATAATCTAATCTACAGACCTTATTGAGATTCACCAATTACCCAACAACATCCTTACGACAAAAAAAAAAAAAAATCCAATACGAATTATTGCACTCAGTTGTTATGTCTCTAATATAGAATATTCCTGAGTCTTTGTATTTCATGACATTGACATCGTTGAAGAACACAGGCCAGTTCTTTTGTAGAACATCCTCAATTTTGGTTTGTCTGATGTTTCCTCAGACCTAAAGTTACACAACTCAAGGCCAGAATACCACAGATGTGGTGCTGAGTTCTCAGAGTATCAAATCTCACTGTCGACTAGTTCTACTCCTGGCAGTAAACGCTGACCATTTGGTTAAGGTGGTGCCTGTTTTGTCCACCAGAGATCGTCAGCCAGACTTCCACACTTACATACTTCATAACTATCTTTTGGGGAGACCACCTAGATTATGTTAATATTACATTATCCCTTGAATTTTCATCATCTAGTTATGGCACGCATTGATGATTCTCTCCCAGATTACTTAAGGGGCAAAAAAAAAAACACAACTTTTGAAATACCCAAGAATTTGTCTTATTGAATAAAAATGCATTAAGTGAGTTGAAAACATTTTGAAAACCAAAAAATTGTATCTGCCTGCTATATTTACTGCAATCCCTGCTGGAAAACCAAAGCAATGCTGTAAATAACTGATTAGATCTCATACACAGTGCTAAAAAATTCTAATCACTCATTTCTGTAAAATCCTATTATCACTGTGTTTCGTATATTCTCTTAATATCCCTGATAAACTGTTTCAACTTTAGTTTAGTTTTTTGTCCTGCTAACTAATATATGTAACTTGGTAAATACAATGAATTCACAGGTATTGGTGCGGATTTTCCCTCCTGGTTTTTGTTTTTTGTGTTTTTTTTGGTTTGTTTTTTTTTTTTAAAGTTTGGTTCTTTTGGGAAAGAGAGAGTATCAGTTACATCAGACCTTGTTTTGATTATTTCTAGATGACATGTATTATTTTTACCGAGGCTGCCAATTCCATTAAAATGAGTGGGCCCATGATAATATTCAATTAAAGATATGCTGCAAAAATGCACAGGACACCGCAAACAGTCAATAATCCATGAACTCTCAGGAATCCCATGTGTTTATCTGTGGTGGCAGAACATCATTTGCTGAAGGCCCAGGGCCTCCGTAATACATCTCTCTACCAAATGCCAAACGGCCACTTCGCCTCTGGCAGCAGAGTCAAAATGGAGAATCTTTCTCTAAGTCAAGCATAGAAAAATGAAAGCATGAGTTTGGATTTGCTCAGAAATAGTTAAGAACTCTGGGGAGAAATGAAGCATGAAGGCTCTGCTGTCCCTTTCCTTGGGGCCTCAACAGAACAATATTTTTTAGCACCTAAATGCAGAGAAAGAGGTACTTGCTGCTTCTGTGAGTTCTGAAATAAAAGCAAATGAAATAGGGAGGCTTTTCACTGTCCTATGAGTAACACTAAAATCCTTTGAATAGAGTAAACTGGAGCCTTGGTGTAACAGGGTTAGCTATGGAATGGAACTCAGTCAAAGACAGATTCACCTTCAACCTCACCTAAAGCAGTTTTTGTTACTAAAAAGGCTTATTAAAACACACACACACAATATCAAGTAAAAGGTATGGGTCAGGAGTCTAATGAGATCCAGTATAGGTAAACACAATAAATTCATTCTGATGAATACCTCTAATGCAGAGTGTCAATAGTAAGACTTTTAAAAATACCACCAAGTTCACCCTCCAGCTTACACATAGAACTGAGAGCCACACATCAACTCTCTACCATTTCCTACACTTAGTACACATGCCAAGACTGGTTCACAGTTCAGCAAACCCAGACTTTAAGCCTAAAAGGAAAGGGATCCTTGAACACCAACTTAAGAAGAAAGTTTCTGCTTTTCTTCCTAATTTAAATATGTGCCTCTGTAGGGTGTGAGCAAAGCTCACTGAGGCTGGATCAGCTGGGAGATCACAGAAGCATATAAACAGCATTGACTACTTTAAGTGAAACCATTTTAATAGACAGCTGGTTTAGGGCCCAAACAATGGAACACCAAGAAGAAGGCTTATTTTCATCCTCCATAGTAAATCATGCGTCTGCTCCCTGCAAGGAAGGTAGTCTGCTCTGAGAGCGACAAAGACAACAATGGTTTAAATAAATCAATGTGTTTATCAGGAGCAAGGATGGGAGGACTGTTACAGAGATGGGCAGGAGGGGAAGAGGAGGCATAGAAAATACGTTGTTTAAATAAGTGAACTGATGGTAAAGCAAGTTGAAGTTTTAGGCTAAGAAAAAACACAATATCAGATAGAAAACAATGTTTACATTACTCCTGCCAATGGCAAATAAATGCCTTAAAGTGGCAGGAATGCATGTTGGGTTGGGGGGGACACAAGGTAAAAGAATAAACAGAGTTAACTTCACCTCAACTTCAAAAACCTGGTGAAATTGACAAACAAGTTGTCAAAACTTGACATAACTGGAAATTTATTTTTCTGATATGCAAAACTCCCTTTTTTAATGTCCTCCTCTATTAAGCAGAAAGAAAATATGCAATTATTTTTAAACTAGATTAACATTCAGATTGAGGTTTTTTCCAGAATGTTTTATAATTAACAAAAAAAGAAAATAGGAATCATTAAACTTGTACATCCTTATGCAGCAATGCAGAAGGTATAGTGTGAGAGGATAAAACACCATCAAACTTCAAATGCCCAATTACAAATTAACCTACCACATCTTTAAAACGATATAAATCAATCAATAGTAAAAATCTTCCTTGGTTGCCACAATGTTAGAAGGCATCTTGTGAAGTGTGGTTCATCCCTGCTTTTCTAAAATATCACTGGGTTTTAAAAGTTAATTGAAACTTACTGTGGATAAAGACCACACAGTAAAACAAAAAATACACGGTGAACATACACCAGGATCACACTTCAATAGGATGCCAAAGGAAACACAGAGAATTAAGCATGGCTTTCTTTGTTTACTTTTCTAATAGTTTTAACTCTTTGTGTTCCATGCCCAAAGAAAGAAGGTAAAGAGAATATTTTAACTTTGGTTCATCAAAATGGAGAAGGGTTTTTAGAAGCAAAATGTTTGTATTAGCCTTTTTGGTTCACAATCAAACAATAGGAGATTTGCCATCATTAATTTAGAACAACAAAAAGAAAGAGGGAGAGGGAGAAAGACAAAAAAGAAGAGGGAAAGAGACGGTGGGTGGCAGGGAAGAAGGAAGGAAGGAAGGAAGATCTCTAATTACCAAAAATTCCTAATTTTCCACTTAAACCAAAAGAGTAACCTCAAAAATATGTGACTCTTTTTCCACATACAAAATAAAAGGCCAAATCTAATGTGCTACCTTAAAGAATCAATTCACTTAAAAAAAAAAAAAAAATCAGTTCATGAATGTACCTCCTTCAACCAGAAATAAAGTATCCTCTAAATACAAATTGTCAACAAGTCTTTCATAGCAAATTACCAA